GCAGGGGAATTCTGGGAGTTGAAGTCCACCCATCTTCAAGTTCCCAAGGTTGAGAAACACTGCCATAGAAGGAAAGAGTTAGCAGTAACTTGAGATTCTGCATTGTCAGTCCCCAAAGCAGATGTTCTCCATTCTTGCCAATGCAGTGCACGCAATGCACAGATGAGCAGCAAGATGGGGCTAACCTTTCTGGAAAATGACTTTATGACAGGCTAGAGGTCACTTGGTGTTGGAGAGAGAAGACATTGTTCTCCAGGGCATCCCACCTACAAATGGGTCGCAGAAAGGCAGATCTGCATTCATCTCTGCTCTCCCCACCCACTCTGATTTATGCTTCCCTGTATAGGCGAGAAAGAATTAGATTTTCCCCTCGCTCGCTGGTGCAACGGTGCAAATTCAGAAAGGACGTGGGTTAGGTAGTGGTTTTAAAGGGGGGCTCCGCTGAGGAGTGGGATCGGACTTTTGCCACGTGGTGAGTCTGAGAAAGAAATGAAAGGGATGTAAACAATTATGGGGTAGAAAGCCACCCAGGATTTCCTTCCTTCAGTTCAGATGGTTGTTGACTTTTCCCAGAGCTCAGCACCAGAACTGCTTGGAGGCCCCCAAAGTCTTCTTTAGCCATCTGACAACAATGGCACGTACTGTGCTGTCATGTTGAAGTGGGAAATGTTCAAAGAAGTACTGTAAAATAAACTAGAAGTAGTTTCCTTTTTCCTTTTAAAGCAAGCCTACATCTCTCCCTAAAAATGCAAGAATCCCCCCCACACACAAACACAGATATAGAAGTATGGTCACCAGCCACCGACAGGTGGTCCTCTTCATTGATCAGAACTCGTGTGCTCCACACCAACCTGGTAGCTTCCAGTTTCTTCTAGCCAATTAACTAGGTCTCTCAAGCACGGGAGAGATGGTTTTCTGGCCTTCTAGTTTTCAGAGACTGCTGGAGGGGATCTTCTCAATTTCCTTTCTCCTACCATGGGTTGACTGAACTGTACATGCTGGGCATCCAAGCTGGAATCTTTTGCATGCAATGTGGGGGAGCATCAGGTCTCCAAGGCAGAGTTGCAAGGTTGCCCTGACAGCGGTGGTGTAAGTGAGCTCCCAAAAGCAACCAGCCTGTCATGTCTTCGACTAGCAGTTGGTTGCATTTCTGCACGAACCACGGAGAAGGAGTTTCCAGCCACCTGCTGGACATCTCTGCTCTGCACAGATACAAGGGTGAATTATTGCATGCTTCCTATAGCAATCTGTTCTCTTGTCTGCATGGAAATCCGCGTCACCTGTAGTGACCTGCAAAATAAAATTTTATTTGTAATGACCCTTACAAAACTGCTAAAAGGCTCCATTCTGCTCAAAAAAACCCCTTTCCTGTTGCAAGTTTCCTTCCGTTCCATTTTTGCCGTACATCCATTTTATGTATTTATTTTTCCCCTGGAAGGAACCAGGTTTAAGTTCACCCTCAGTGATGGAAGCTCACTGACCCTGTGGTGCACTGT